CCCTAAAGCCCCAAAACCCTTAAACCCTTAAACCCCAAAGCCCTAAAACCCTAAACCCTACAAAATCCTACAACCCTAAACCGTGGCTTTCAGTAAGCGGTAGACGGCCACCGCAAAGTTAGAGCTCCTCTCCAGCCCCCGCTCAGTCTGCGAGTTCGGTGTTTAGGGTCTTAGGGTTTAGGGTTCAGAATCTTTAGGGTTTAGGGTTCAGAATGTTTAGGGTTTAGGGTTCAGAATGTTTAGGGTTTAGGGTTCAGAATCTTTAGGGTTTAGGGTTCAGAATCTTTAGGGTTTAGGGTTCAGAATCTTTAGGGTTTAGGGTCCTCGTGTTCAGAATCTTTAAGGTGTAGGTATGTGTAGGTCTTAGGGCTCAGAATCTTTAGGTTTTGGGGTTTAGGGTTCAGAAACTTTGGGGTGTAGGGTTTAGGGTTCAGAAACTTTGGGGTTTAGAGTTTAGGGTTCAGAATCTTTGGTTTTCAGAATCTTTAGGGTTCAGAATCTTTAGGGTTTAGATCTCAGGGTTCAGGGTTCAGATTCACGTCTCAGGGTTTGAGACACGGGCCGTGGACTCGTAGACCTTTGGCGCAGGGGCCGAGCACGGCTAGGTGTCACAGGTTTGGGACAGAAGCCTTAAACCCTAAACCCTAAACCCTAAACCCTGAAGCCTAAAACCCCTTAACCTGAAGCCCCTTAGCCTCAAATGAGCTAAAGCCCCTAAACCCTAAACCCTAAACCCTAAACCTCCTTCACCAGCCATCTCCTTCTTGTCAGAGGAAGAGCTGATCGTAGCAAGAGTGGTAGAGCCCACCCCAAACCTGTGGGTGTTTTTCTAAGTTAGGGTCCCTTTTAGGTCCCCAGTATAGTACGGCACCCTTATAAAAAGGACGACCCGAATTTAGAGAACTACCCCTGTGCAAAAGCGGTCACAAGCTTCGTAGCACAAAGGCTCCAAAGCGTGGGCATTGTGGGAATGATCTCATTCGAGTGGCCCAGCGAGCTTGCCTGGGTCTTTGACGCCATGATCCTTGGCACCTTGGGATTGGGGCTTTAAGGTAATTACATGGAAGTTTTGGAACACAAGGGACGCCTATATAAAACCCCTAAACCTTAAACCTTTTCATAGAACCCTAGGCCGTTTGATCCTTAATGTAAGCATCCCCAAATGAGGGAACGCTAGTGGTCAGGAGTACCCAAACAGTCCTTTGGCTTTCAGGATAGATCAGCCTAACACTACGCCTCAGATTGGCATGCCGCACTGCACTCTTAATGATTAATGTTGCTCGAACCCGTCCCTACTGCTTAAACTTAAGCATAGAACCTAAGGCTTCAACCCTACAAACTCAAGGCCGGAGCCACAGTACGTGGAGGATCAACTGACTTCATAAGTGCTTGACCAGTCAAGTTATCCGCTGTTTATAATCACCTCTACTTGTAGCTACCCATTTCTGGGACAATGGAGTCCTGAACACTGAACCGCAAACCCTCTCTGCCAAGCCCCCGGATCCCTACTGTAGTTTGCCCGAAGGCCTTTCAAGATATTAATCGCGAGCCCAGCAAGGAACTTTTTCCTGCTGGACGTTGACTCACTTGGTTTTGACTGCGTGGCCGGCAGCCCTATCAATCGGAACCTTGGTCGCAAAACCCTCGGTCATTTGGCTTGTCGTGCGCATTGATATATAGTCCACGACGACGAAAGCGCGGCACTTCAGCAATTGCTGCTGTTGCTGCTCCTCCTCTTGCTACCAAAAAGCCACAGCACCCTATAGTAACCCGTATAGAACCCTCATGGTTACCCTTCTATCCACCTTTATAGTAACCCCCCCCCCGCTTTCCCCCCCCAAACCTTTACACATGCGACCCTTAGAGGCTTAAGCCTATAAGCCCTAAACCCTACACCCTACACCCTTCACTCTGAATCCTCAGAGGTATGCCTTCAGCGTTGCTGCTTTGCCCTGCGCACTCCTCTGGCTCATCACGGCGGCTGTGCCGCTGGCCTTCCATGTTCGGGCTCGAGCTTTCTTATGCTTCAGGGTTTTGGGTGTAGGGTTTAGGGTTTAGGGTTTAGGGTGTTAGTCTTCAGGGTTCTATACGGGTTCCAAGGGTTACTGTAGGTTTCTTTTTAGTGCTTTAGTGTGTAGCTATGCTCTAGGGTCTAGGGTTTTTAGTTTAGGGTTCAGGGTCGTGGGTGTAGGGCTTGTGGTTCAGACCTTTGCGTTTGGCTCCGTGTTTTGGTTCCATGCCTTCAAGTATGACTTCCGCTCTGGCTGCCTTGCACATAGTAACCCTAAACCGTAAACCCTAAGCCAACCCTAAACCCTATTGCTGAGTTATCGCAGACTTGGTATTTCTCAGGCGATGTTACTGTTGCCTGTGGGTGTTCACCGCTTGTGCACGACTGCTCTACTTGCCAAGTAAGGCATCGTTGTGGTATTGCGGCATTGGGTTGTGGCCCACCTGTCGTCCCCTGTTTTCGAGTCATATATAGTGTCATTACACCCTGACGCCCAATTCGCTGCATGATTCATCTTGAAAAAACCCTAAAACCGCCTCGCGCTCCTTTGATCTCTAAGCCCCAAACCCTAGCCTAAACCTGTAATCCCTAAATCCCTAAACCCTGAACCTGATGGCTCAGGCTTAGCCGTGTCCTTCCCTTCATCCCTCGACATCGCCGGTTCGAGATCCCTAAGACGATCAGCACCATGGGACAGGCGAGGCTTGTTTTTCGAACCCTAACGGCCTTACCTGCAGCTCAGAAATTAAGGGCGTCTTTTCATGGTGGCCTGGCTGTATGTATGAATGTATGAGATGAATAAACAAATAAACCTCTCTTCTATATCTGTGTATATATACACATACATACGTGTATGTATATATGATCCCGGTTCGGCCGGCCCCCCCCCCCAAGATCTACACCTA